CAGCATGATTAAGGGAGATTAGAGATGAGTCAGCTCTTCTGTCACAGCTGCAAATTCAGCAACTTCTTGCAAGTTTTGCATTTTATATCTTAGACCTTTTACAATTTATATTTTTGCTGTTGTTGGATGTAACTGGGACCCTGTGTACACAATTTTATCTTACCCCATGTACCACATGTGGTGCAAATGACAATAAAGAACCTTGATTTTATTAGCAAGATGATCCAGGTTCAATCACTGCCACTTAAGACGCATTGCACTGCACATGAAGTCAATGAGTCATCCTGAAGCTGAATGCTCTTTGTGAGACGTGGGATGAAACTCAAAATGTAAACAGTGATTCTTAATGAACTTGCAAATTTTATGTCCATTCAAGGTGCAGTGATTTGGGAAAAAATCAACAACATTGCTAAATCCAGAATGGTCAGCTGTGCTTAAAAAAGCCTGACACAAGCTGTAGAAATCAACGGTTCAGGTTTAGCTTAATTTAATTACTCAAATACATTATATATTTTAATGAGCATGTTATGTTTCTATCTGCAAAACATAAACATGTATTAAAGTACTAACTTGTACTGCCAGCGAGCAATTGAAATGGAAATGGAAAAACTGTTCAATATGAGAATGGTCTTGCTTTTTATTTTCGACTTTGCAGAATCTGAAAATGTTAAAAGGGGCTTCATGATGTCATTTTTAATAGCAACATAATAACCCAGGGTTCAGAGTAGCACGTTTTGAAAAGTCTCAGACCAGGTAAAAAAGGTAGGTGGTTTTATTAATGTGAGTGTAGAAGGGGCCCACCACCAGCAAGAGGGGCCATATGAGTCGGATGCGTGAAGACATGGGCAGTGGCTGAAGGCGGGGGCTTTGGCGCCTCTTGGGACATGGACTGTGACCTCTCTGGTGGGGAAAGAGCCTGATCTTGTGCGTGAGGTTGAGAGGTACGGACATGTTATAGTTGGGCTCACCTCAATGCACAGCATGGGCTCTGGAACAAATCTCCTTGAGAGGGGCTGGACTTTTTTCTAATCTGGAGTTGCTCAAGGTGAGAGGTGCCAATCTGGTGTGGGTCTACTTGTAGCCCCCGACGGTGCCTTTTGCAGCATACTGAGATGTTTTAAGCTCTGCTACAAAACAGTATTAGAGAAGCTGTCAGTTCGTTTTTTCTTTTAAAGCAGCCTAACGCTATACTAAAAATAAATAAAGAGAATAGCAGCTGTTGTGTGACAGACTGCTGGGATGTGACTCTTTAACTGGTGCGTTCTGATAAGTTTAAATCTGACAGTAGTGACGCTTGGGACTAAAATATGTTGTTGTTTTTTTTTTTTTTATCCAGGCCACATTTTAAATAGTTTTTGGTAAAATTATTAAACCACAACTAGCTAACTTGTTGAGTGAAATTCTAGTTTTGAACCTGCAATAAAAGTTGCCCTTTATCTTAACAAAAATTAAAATTATAGTGTACAGGTAGTTCAATTCTTATAATAAAAAAAAGTTTATTATAGCAGTGTGTTACACACTTGCAGAATTTAGGTTTCACTCTGACTTGAGGATTTTTTGAGCCTGAGTAACAGCACGACTTGCAAAATACTGAAACTGAACTACTATCAAGAGCAATACCAAAAAGTTTCAACTAATTTAGGTTATTTTTGCACAAGTACAGTGAAATATAGAACATTTATGAAGATGCTTGGAGTTTTTGTTTTGTACTCTTCTCACTGGGAGAAGACCCAGGACTCCAGGTCAGACCCAGAACTCACTGGAGGGATAGTATGTCCTCTCTGGCCTTAGGGTCCCCCTGGAGAGTATCGCTGAAGAGATTGCTCCAGCAACTCGACCACAGATAAAGCAATAAATAAAGCAATAAAAGATGGATGGATGGATGGATGGATGGATGGATGGATGGATGGATGGATGGATGGATGGATGGACTGAAATAACCCAAGTTGACAAAGCAGATGGCCGCTTGTCCTGAGCCTGGTTCTGCTGGAGGTTTCTTCCTTTTAAAAGGGAGTTTTTCCTTTCCACTGTTGCCACTGTGCTTGCTCAGGATGGGAGACTGCAACAAAGTGAAGTTTCAACTTGTCTGCTGGATTCCTTAGATAGAGAACTTTACTAATTGGCTTTTCTATGTATGTGAATGTTCCTGTTCAGTGCTCTGAGACAACTTTGTTGTGAATTAGCGCTATATAAATAAACTGAATTGAACTGATATGAAAGTTCATGCTCAGTCATCCAGGTACAAAATCCAGTAATGGTCAATCAGGTCATTTGGACAGTTTCTTTATTTTGGAAAGACGTTTCACCCTCTATCCGGAGGGCTTCATCAGTCTGAGGAGTCCCAAGTAAAGTGTTTTCCCCACTAAGCAGTACACTCCTTTAGTGGACCAACCAGTTTGCTGGTGATAAGATGGTTTCTGGGTCTCCTCAGACTGATGAAGCCCTCCGGATAGAGGGCGAAACGTCTTCCCACAAAAAAGAAACTGTCCAGATGACCTGATTGACCATTATTGAATTGAAGTGAATTTAGCTGATGTTCGGGCTAATTGCTCTAGATAGTTAGTTCCTCGTCAGTCGTGGCATAGGTCCTGGAGCATGGGGTATGAAGTTTTTGTCCCGTCTAGGCTAACAGCTACCCAAACGGTTGATTGTTTTTCAGGATTATAATCAACTCTTTTTTAAAATAAAACACATTTCCTCAAAACATTTAGGTTCTTTCCACAACCTAAGAGGAATTATAAAAGGTACTTCCTGATCCTTGTTGGTTTTGTAAACACAAGAGATACATATTCATCATGATGAGTGTTGAGTAAATAATTTTCATGAGGACATACCGTATACTGGCTCGGGCTGTTCTTGGGCTTTTATTTTGTGAGTAATTCACTTATCATTACATCCTGCTCCCCTTTGCTATCAGACTGAACAGCGTAACACATGTTTCCTGCTGACGTACTAGTTATTTATTGCTCATTTACAGTAATAACTTTCAACGATTCCCTGGGGCCAGTCAGTATCATGTTCAGACAAGTACTGATGGTGTAATGGTAACTTAGAGTGGACCCAGAAACCGATACCACGGTTTTGGTGATTAAATTTACCCAACGTGATCAGAAACATTCAAAGAAACAAATTTGCACTTTTGAATTTTTGTTGAATTTAGACGACTCAGCGCAAATAACTCCAATTAGAGGGAAATAATGAGAAGGTGGAGTGAAGCGAAAGAGACACATTTGTCTTTTGAAGTGTCAAGTGCTGCCAAAATAAGCTTTAGCCAATATTTATGATGTAGTTTAAGATGGACAAGTCAATTAGGAATACAAATGTACTTTTTGTTTTGTAATCTTGTTTTACGGTAAAAAAAAACGGACTGGATCTGGTCTTAAGTGAGGATTTCCCCCAACAAGCGTTACTTTAAGTGTTGAAATCACGAGTGTGAGAATATGGTGATCACGCACTTGGTGTTAAAACCACAACATAATAAATAATATGAGGGAACTTCTGCTTTTACGTTTTTGTTTTTTTTTCCCCTCCGACCATTAGAAGTGACTGGAATTAGGTCGGTTAAAGAATTACTTTGCAGCAGTACATTAAGTCTTTACTGGATGTTGCGACAGCGAGAATCAAAATGGTGAAACATTTGTGAAGTTTCAGATAAAGTGTGAAATTATTTATGTATTTAGATCTTTATAAAGTCAGCACTTATTGATATAGCCGTGATCAAATAAATTCTTAAATAAAATGTTTTTAAATGCTTAATTTTCCTCATCTGCTCATGTAGAATAATACTTCATACTCTTTTTTTTTAATCTAATTTATTTAATACATGTATATTTCAGTGTACTTTTATGTTTTTATACATTTATGTGAAAAATATCATATTTATCATTTCAGACATATGACTACTTCTGTGGTGCTTTGTTGTTGAGCAGAGAAGTGTTTCAAAAATCCCACTGTTGATAGTTATTGAGAAACCACGCCCACTTTTTAGTTTCATTTTCATTATTAGTAGATAAAGGCTGCTCAGAGGCAAAACAGAAAGTCATCTGCAGCAGAGGCAGGATGGTGCTGGTCCTGATATTTGTTGTTTGTTTGGCATTTAAAGGTAAGTGACTCTAACAACAGAGGGTTTTATTACTGCTGAGCATATTTTATTACCGTACTATACTGAGACAAGAAAAAAGTTTTTTGTTGTTGTTCTTTCTTTTTCTGACACCTTTGTAATGGTTCATATCATCATATTTTTATGTTGCATACAAACATACTTACATAATAATTCATTATATTAGTATATTGAAAATTTACCATTTTTTTGTTATATGAAATATTAGTTGTTGTTAATTATGTTGCCCATATAAATGTATGTATATTTATGTATGTATGTATGCATGTATGTATGTATGTATAATGTATGTATATATATATACATACATTATACATACA